GAGCAGCCGAGAGTAGAACAATGATAATGGGTGAGGAAGGGAAAGAAGTACTAAAAGTCGGGACATCAAGATATTCTGTTCTATACCTGGATTGAGTAACAATGGAAAACTTCCCATGGTAAGAAGCCACACACTCACTAATGACACAGGACTCATATAATCATTGCTTTAAAATGTATGATAAAGAATTTAGGTTTAGTTTTGCAAAGAGCTTGATTAAATCAGTTAAGCAGAGAGGTGGGAATTCCGTGGCCATGGTCATTTGTACTTCAAGAATGTGTTTGTCACTGAGTCACTTTACTTTGTACTTTTTATTCCTAACCAACTTACATTTAAGATGACTTTAATCAGTGTAGCCTATTAGCCTCTTTGCTGAAATGCTGACACTTTCTGAATGTCAGTTTAGCTCTTTAAAAGAAAGGACCCAGCATCCATAAGATGGTAATTGTCCCTTAAATACCCTTAATACTTATGATTATCCTATCCTTACTCTCTGTGCCAAGGCAGGGATGGTAAGTAAGGAGGCTAAACAGTGCTGCAGAGTGGATCCAAACATGAGCTTTGGGATCACACAACTTGAGTTTATGTCCTGACTCTCCTGCTTGCAAGATGAGTGACCCTGGGTTAGGTTTTTTTGTTGGATTGGTTGGTTCATTGGGTTGTTTTCTTTTTTTTGCCTTTCTAAACCTTTTATTAGAATCCATAGAAATCCCATTTGCACTGTGCCAAGTACATAGTAAACCCTGAAGAAATTGTTACTATTATTATCATCCTAATAATAAACCTAGGAAGTTATTCTCATGAAGTCCATAGACTATTAAAAGCTGGGTAGAGGTTTTTAGAGGTCATTTACTGAAACACCCTCCCTTTGCAGATCACGAGGACCAGGGGAGTGAAGTCACAGAGCAGAGCTAAGACTAGGGCACAGGACTCTTTTCCAATTAACCATGAAGCTCTCAGACCTCATGGGAGAGAACAAATAATACTCAGCTTACTCTGACCAGTGGTATAGAAAAAGGACCAGTGAGGACCAATGAGGACCAAGAAAATGTTGGCTCTGGGTGGGCTGAGGCCCTGGGGAGGTCCATGGTGATTTTCAAATAAAGTGTGTTCAGGAGGAAGGGGAAGGACAGATAGGTGCTGCCAGTGGCCAGTGTCACTTGGTCTCATTAGGGAGACTCACCAAGCAGATCGTTGATGGCATTAGATTTCCCAGTAGTTCTAGCTTTCCTCACCACCTGTCACGTCAAATTCTTTCATCTGAAGGGATTAGACCCACTATGCCTAGTGTGCTGTTACCTTGGTTGCAACTCCATTCCCAACAACAGCGGAGTTTAATAGCCTGGAGAGTACAGAACCAGGGTCAGCAGACTACAGCCTGCGGGCCAAATCCAGCCTGCCACCTGTTTGTGTAAATGAAATTTCCTTGGCGCACAGCCACAGTCATTCATTTATGTATTGCCTATGGCTGCTTTTGTGCTATAATGGCAGAGTTGAGTAGTTGGAACAGAGACCCAATGTTCTGCAAATACCAAAATATTTACTTTCTGGTACTTTACAGAGAAGATTTACCCACATCTGGTATATATCCTTATCAGCTGCTTTGGGGACAGAGGCCCTCCCCAGGCTATGAAAGGATCAACTGACTTCTTACGGATATATCTATGTTCCTGGCATAAATAAGATTTCATTAATACAACAGGAAAGAAATGTAGAATTACATAGAATGCTCTTACAATCCAAAGGCAATCTCTTCTTCATTATGGATGTGAAAGACAACTGTCCATCTCCTCTAAGGATGGGTCTAGCTCTGGCCTCCCTCTTATTCTGGGGCTTGGAGGAAATGGAACCAGTTGCAGAAAAAGCAACACCGTTCCATGCATTACTTGGATAGTTATAAAAGCCATCTCTTAAGGAATTTGTGTGCTATAAACCAGACACTTTCCATGCATTATGTTATTTATTCATTGTAACAATCTTGTTAAGTAGTATGAGTGTCCCCATTTTGCAGAAGAGTAAACTAAGGGCGAACTAAGATCACAGAGTGAGTGGCCAGGTAGAGATTTGTAACCATTTGGCTCCAAGTTCTCTGATGCCCATAGGGGCAGTAAGTAATTGAGCTCCATAAATGTCTATTAGAAGTATGGTTGACAATGGCTAAGGTTCATTCATTCCAGACAAAATAGAGATCTAAGTATTACTTCCAGAAGTTTGCACTGCAAAATACTAATCTGCAAGTACTCATGAAAAATGTTCAATATATATAGAAAATATAGCATACATTACCAACTTCCTGGGAATCTATAAAGCCATTAGCAAGTTGTGCACTCTGAGAAATTCCACAGCAAAGATCTTAATTCAACTTTGCTCAACATAATGTTGCCCAAACACTTTAGCATGGAATCCTTTAGGTAACCACATCCTGTAAAACTATTATTCCAAGAGATACCTTGGGAACTGTCGAACTAGATGATAATGATAATGATGATGATGATGATGACAACAATGACAATGATTGATAATAACCACTAATAGTTATTAAGCAGTTACAATGAGACAGGCACTGGCCTAAGCATGTATACGGTTTAATTCATTTAACCCTCACAGAAAACCTATGAGATTGGTACTGTTATTAATTCCTCACTTGACAGATGAAGAAACCAAGGTACAAAGAGGATAAATAACTTGCCCAAAGTCACACAGCTAGTAAGTCCTAGAGACTACGAGCTCCTCAAACACAGGGATCAATTCCTCTTTGCATAGCCTCCAGTAGCGCAGTGCCTGGCACAAAATATGCACCCAGGAAATCACAGTTGTACTGAATGGACATAAGATCCTAATTTTTAAAAAAAGGAAAAGCAACTGGAGTGTGTTGAATAGAATATTTAAGATCTTTAAGTGGTATTTACACAACCAGGGCACTCCTCATCCATTGGGGTTTCTATTTGTACCAGACAAGACCATACCCTAGATAATGTTCCTGCTATAAGCCATTTATATAGTGTAACTGTTTTCACATTTTTTTAAATGGACCTTACTTTAGGTTAATGCAAAGATAAAAGGAAAATATCAGATAATGAAGATCCTATTTAACCACAAGAAATAATATTTCATTCAAAGGTGCATTAAATTAGGTTTTTGTGTGGCATAAAATATATTGAAAGAGGCCATATCACATCCATAAGGAACCACTGTATTGCCTTCGTTGGTGGAGTGGATGGATTTTCTTTTTAAATGCAGTATAATAACAGCTATTGAGAACAGTCGATAGCAACCTTTTAAATATTGCAGACCTAAAAATATATCAAGGTCAAAATTAATAGATAAAACACTGATGAATTTTCACTGTAGATTTGAGGGAAGCAATAAGAAAGAAAAAATAACACACTTTAGCTTTAAAAGGAAGGAAAGCAAAGGCAGCCCAAGATGACTATGTTTTTGTGCCCTGCAAGATAAAAAGGAAATTTATGCTTAGCACCTTGGGAGCTTCAAATTCAGTTATTAAATTGTATTACTTCTCATCACTGTAACATAGACCATTCCTCAGTGATAATCATTGTGATAATGGTTGACACTTAATAAGGCTTACTCTGCTGTTGTAAGCATCTTGTACGAGTAGCCCTAGGTGGTAAGAGGTGGTGAGTACTATTATTATTCCCATTTCACAGATGTGGAAATGGAGGCAGAGAGTTATAGTAGGTAAAGTTGTTTTCCCATGATCCCACACCAGTACAAAATGGATTAGGGATTCAAACTCCAGTAATCCTGGCTTCAGAGCCTGTGCCATTAACAGCTATGTACACTGGGCAAGGAGAGGGTTCAAAGGCTCAAGGAGGCCCACAGATCTGGGAGGCTAAATAAAATTCACTACCAATGTCAGGGTATGTCCCAGACTCACTAGGTGGTCACCAGAGGGCCAAAGGTGGAAATGTGAAGTTGAATCCTTGCCAACAGGCCCTTCCGTGGCAGTTTGTTCTATGACATGTTTCCAGAGGTCATTACAGACCTTGCCACTTAAGAAACCCATCCATTTAAGGCTATGCATTAGTCACCACAGGTGAAGATCTGTCCCTTCACTCACCTCTACCACCGGTATATGCTGGGATTTCTAACCACACAACCTGGCCATACACACGCCCCTCCAAAACACCATCACTTGCTTATGAGTATGCATATGCCATCATGGTGCACCAGACCCCAAATATTCAGGAAGCGCCACATGCTCTGCAGTGTTCAGAAAAATCCAGGGGAAAAAATGTCTAAAAGTTCCTTTAGAGAAAACACAAACAGCTCCATGCTGATGGAAAGGAAAGATGGAATTTTACACTTAAGCGGGTGGCCAGCATCCCAGTGTGGGAACCATTTGAGAGTTAAAAACAGAGCCCTTAAGAGAAATAACAAATTGGTAAAAACAAATATTGAAAGTTATCTTTATAATTATATTTATGTTCCCAAATGCCTGCTTCCCTCTCCCCTTTTTGTAAGTGACATGTAAGTCAGTTTAAAGAACCAAAGAATTTGTTTGCTGGGAGGGCTTGATGAGACACAATAGCATACGTACTTTAAAAGATACATACCCACGCCTTGGGAAGAACACTTGACAAGAAGAGGGTATTATTTACAGAAATGTGTCTTTTAAACAGATGGATCAACAAACTCAATTGGATATGAAAATGGAAATTGTATTTCTTAATTCCTACCAATGAGCATATCAAAAACTTACACATCGAAAAAACATATACACTATATTTTTGTAGATCATTTAATTCTCATTCATAAACTTTCATTGTCTTACAATTCAGCACAGTTAAACAAAAATAGCTTCTCCCTTCTCCATTACCAGCCTTATATCCTTTCTTAACTGCACCTTCACTGAGTCTTTCTTTTCTTCTTAAAGGTAATCATGAGTTAGGGTCGAACAACTGCGAAAAGTCTGATTTATTAAGCAAACAGGCTAGAAGTCACAGGGCTGATGTTAAAACACAAATATGCCTACTTACCTGGATGGCTCTGACATTGGAAACTGGCTGTTTCGACATATTCATGCAGTCTTACCCCTAAAAAAACAAGTAAGAAACTGTTGGAGGTGGCGGCATTCAGATTCTCGGTCTTGATAAATTAGAACTTAAGTCATGATTCAACTGGGCAGTCACCCCTTTCACTGGCCATATATTCTTTCAGTCTCAGTTTCCTAAGTTACTTAGAGACTCTCCTTCCTAAAGCCTCAGGGAGAGGGAACACGAGAGCCCCGGATAAATCATTCAGGAGCAGAAATGCTGAGACGCCTCGCCCCTGATGCTAATGATAGGCCATCAGAAACTTGAAAGGCGCTATCATCTCCTTCCCTGCCCTCCTGCCCCCCTGCCAAGAGCAGCTAAGCAAAGAGGCTGTGGGAATAAAACACCTTTGTTTGGGGCCTCGGAAGCTTTCCGCTTGAAACTGAACTTTTGATCTGAATTAGTTGTTGCCAGGGCTGCGCGTCAGTCAATTGAGAGCACCTCCTCTCCCTCTCCGATGAACATCCAGAAAGAAATGGCCTGTGCTTCATTCTTACTACTGCGATGCTCTCTGCTTGCTGTGCACGTGTCTGTCCTGCCCAGTGACCTGAGCAACGCTCTGAGGAAGTAGGCTGCATCTCTCCCTGTGTGTTCAGAGCCCAGGCTCTGCAAGCCAGGCAGCTGGCAAGCCTCACCTCTTTTTCTTTTACCAAAACCGTCCCAGAAGGCAAACAGGACTTACATGGCCATGTCAGATCCCCAAGACGTAGTAGTGCTTCCTTCCCAAAGGATTTTGGCTCTCTTTCGGCTCCTGAGACCTGACTTAGAGCACAGTGACTATGGTTTACTGGGGCCAGGGGGCCAGGGGGCAGGGGAGAGCCCAGCTGTGTATCAGTGTGGTTATCACTTGGTCTATGAAATGTCAACAGAATCGAGTGAAAAAGTTAAAAACTCATTGAATTAAAAATATGCTGCTTTTTAAACTGAAACTATAAAATGGGTTGGCTGATTTTTCTCCACTGATTGGTGTAAGTGTATGTGCTAACTGGGGAGAAAATGAACCCAGAGAGCAGTGTTGCCATTGGCCACAAGTCCTGTGTAACCTGGACTAAGTCACTCAAAAGCTCTGGGCCCATTTCCACTTTCTTAAATTTTACCTGCCTCACAGGTTGTGATAGGAATCAAAATGACATAATGTTCCCAAAAATGCCTTGTAAACTATAAAGCATGATACAAATATTTACTGTTTTATTGCCATTGCCCATAGCTAGTGACTTCTTATGACTACCGTATACTGATCTACAACTTTAAGCACAGAGTAAGAATTGATGTAGTTATGTCCCTCAATACTTCAGAGATAAAGATCTCACAATTCTGTGAAAAGTTACTTTCTCTGAGAGCTTCAAAATCTTAGGCTTTATTATATAAAGTTAAATAATTATATATTTTTCAACCTATAAGTATTATATCCAACTATATAGTCTTTAGAGCCACATATATGAAAACAATGAGATTTTTGAAAAAGTTTCACCTGAATGTTTTAGTAATATAGAAATATAGCCTCCGTGCATATGGGTCTAGGTAGAATTGTTTTCAATATGGTTAAAAAATTATAAAGCAACAACAAATTAAACAATCAAGAATGCATTTTGTTCTATGATATATTTCAAATAGGTTGCTGTCTTTCCTGCTGTGTCAAAGAGTCAATGAAGGATCTTTAATTTGTGGATCTAGGACACACAGCTCAATGTCAAATGGAAAAGCAGGGTAGTTTAATTTTTAATGTTTGTATTCCTCAAAAGCTAGTAGAAGTCATGGAAAGCAATGATTTGCACAGACTTTAAGTATCTCAGCATATAATATACTTTATGCATGGACAACTGAAGTTTAACTAATATTGCTTGGGAACTTTAAAAAAATTCTTGTACATCAATTTGAAATGTGAGAATTGGGAATTTCTTTATGTTATTACAATAGTGGGTTGAAATGTAAAAGAAAAACCAGGTAATGCATGATTGTGCTATTTATAATGCATTGAATTTTTTTTTTTAATTAGGCTGATTTTGTTTCTTCCACTGAACTGCATTGCTTTGCATTTTGTCGACCTCTAAGCTTAAGAGATGGGTATTCCTTGGGCCTTATCTTCTGTACAGTTTTGGTATAATCTCATTTGCATATGAATTTCTTCTTAACATATATGTCAATCTGCATTAGAGACAGCTCTGGAAAGTTGGTCAGATCCCAGCTCTCATTCCTAGCAAACAGGCTAGATAACATTTGTGTAAATCAGTTCTGCAGCCGTTCCTGCTGTCCTCATTATTCGCAGAGAAATCAGGGCAAAGCACACTGATGAATAAAAATAGACAGTGTTCCCTGGCTGTTTCCCTGGCCCTGCGCTCACCTCCGTTAGGGATGCAGAGTGTACAGTGCATCTTCCTTCTTTATCTGCGCATCTCGTCCTGGGACCAAAAATGAAAGCTATGCCTTAGATGCACAACTCCACTCACACCGGGTCCACTGCTTTTCATACAAAGAGGTACTCTTTACAGCACTCTCTTACTGTGTCTCCTGGCTCTGGCTAAAATTTAGAAACATGGAAAGTTTGACATGGCGTGTACTGACTTTTACAAAGCCTATGCTAGAGTGAAAACGCTTGCTAGTTTAGCGCAGTTGAGTTTTCCTGGCAGTTGCAAGTCATTGGGCACCTTTAATGGTCTATATGCTGACTCATTTACAGTGTCTCTGCTGGTTTTTCATTGGACAGAATCGAGTATCTGACTTCTAAATAAGACTCTTTCACTTACTAAAATTTGTCAACATTAATATCACTAATTTAATAAGAGTAGATTCTGAGGAAAGTCAATCAATATTTGCAGAGAAGGGGTTTTGTTTGTTCTCTTAAAAGGTCAATTAAATGGCTAAAGTGAAATCTCAAAGGGAATTATCTTCTATCCTGCAGCTAAAAATAATTCTGAGAAGGGTGTAGGAAGATGGTCAGCTGTCTGAAGTAACTCCTTATTCACTTTGTCTGAAATACGCCTAGAGGGAAGAGGCACTTAGCTTTCCCACATATCAGAACCTGGTGCCCACAAAGGGACAGGAATGTTGCCCTCTACCCTGCTGGGTACAGGGAACACTGTGACAAAAGTGGGACTTTCGAAAAGATGGGTCTAGAGTATTAATCGATCTATACATTGATAGAACTTTGTCACTGAGGCCAACCCTGGCACTTAGGGAGAGCAGAAAAGCATTTTACACTTGAACTGTGTAACAACTCTGGCTATAATTTGCATTTAGGTAAACCAAAGAGCTAGCATTATAGCTTTTCTCTGCCCCAAATTCTCCTGATAATTTCTAGGCTTACAGCCCGAATCAGTCTGCGGCTGACTGACTGTAACTCTGGCCACAAGAATCAAAATGACACAATATTCAGGATCACAGTCATCATACCTGGACCATGAAAATTTTCTTACTGTCACTATCAATACAAACTACTTTTAGTCCAATATTCTTTCCAACACACACACACAATTTACAAAACAGAAGCAGCAACATCACCCATAAACAGTGAATTTACAAGGAAGCTACACCCACTGCTTACAAGCCTGCAAAGTTATAAGTAGTCACTTCAAGTTAGGTATCAAGGAAATTTCCTTCAGAAAGTCCAGTAGCCCGAGCTGGGTCCTTCTGCTTACCTGCTTTGTGTATTTGTTTACTGCCTAAGAAAAGTCCCAGGCAGCCTGGTGCAAGAATACAAGCTTCCTTAGAAGGTGAAAGGGATGCCCGGTGTCCTCTGAGCTGCGATCTCGATTCTGATGCTTTGCATGTGGCTGAAATAGCTCAAGTGTTCGGTGCCTCACCCGGGATTGAGAGCTGCTCCTGGCTGTGGGCTGGAGGGGAACTTGGTTTAAGGCTAAGTGTTAAAGAGAATTCCTGTCATAGCTCACAGTTGTTCTTCCTAAATATAGAGTTTGATACAAGCCATACGCTGGCTGCCTCCAGAAGGCTTGACCGTGCTGAAAGCCGGGCTCAAATGTCAGCCGGAAGGTGGCTATGGAATCTTACTGCCCTCCTAATCTTCCAGAAGATGCTGGCTGCATTTTCTCACGTACTCTGAGGGGGCACAGTGAAGTTTGAAAAGTAGGAAAAGTTTCTATCTTTAGCTTTATTACCTGGAGGCCAGAAGATGAGGAGTGTTCAATAAGAACAGGAGAGAGGCAGCATGGCACTGAGCTTCTCCGCAGGGGCACAGCCCTCAAAGCGTGTGTGAGTCCTAGCCTGGTCACTCAGGACCTGTTCAAGTTATTTCATAATTGTCATTCAATAAATAGTCACCAAATGATGATAATTATAATATTGTGTTGAACTATAAAACATCACCCTTTTTGTAGGTCAAAAATGGTCACAGATCAACTGACTCATGTGGTTCCAGGACTGAGTCCTTGCTCTCCCTGCTCTACTGCCTCTACTGGTGGTGGTGACTTTGACCTCAGAGCACAGGAGATAACAGGAAAAAAACACAGGGAGGAAATGTCAATTTTAACTAAGACAAAGGCCAGGAGCAGGTATGAAGCAAAACATATTTATACAGAACATTGCCAAATCCTAAGGAGCATGCTCATCATTTTTGTTTTAGTTTTTTGTTTTGGGGTGTGTTTTTTGGGGGGTTCTTGTGCTCATTATTTTCAACACTACTTAATTCTTTTTTTATTCCTGCAGTCTCTGCAATTTTCTATACATACAATTTCAGTAGGAAGATTAAACAGAGTGGACAGGCTTATAATTCATCCACTGGATGAAGGTGACTTCATGTCTGAGACCCTGACTGCATGGTCAGCCACTGAACTGTTACAGAGTCATATGAGCCTCTGAAATCAGATTTTTGTTCCCTGCAGCTGAATGCATTTCAAATGGAAGCAATTGCCTTGTTTTCAGGTGGGTAAAAAGCATACTAGCTTTCTAGTAGCATAGGATGTCAACAGATCATTGTGGTTTGTCTCAGTTTGGGGTTCACTACTAAGTTCTATGCATGTGCTATTTAAAATAATTGTGTCTTCAAAATTTAGTTTAGACAGCATGCTTTGAGATCATATGGCACCCAAAGTGAGTTATTTATACACTGGGGGAGAAAATATAATGAACACCTTAATATTTCTCCAGATGTCTGGCTTCTCCTATATGTTCAGAGCTCTTCACCAGAAAATAGGTCACATCACTCCATGGACAAACAATAATGAGCCATTTCTGATCCTTTGCCCTGCACTCAGCCCATAAATTTTGCCACAGTCCTTTTCTCCCCAATCATCCCTCAGTAGCTACTGGTGTTGTACATTGTCAAAGGAAGTGCTTCTGGTAGCAACACCTGGAACACAGGGCTGACCCAATATGGGCACGGCTGCCTCTGTGTGAAGACCGAAGGTGAGCTGCATTATCAGGACTTCTTTGGTCCTAAGCGACAGAAACCCAAAGTGAACTAGTGTCAGCCAAGACAGTTCCCAGAACACTGCCAGTCTCATAGGTCAAAAGCCTTCATCTGTCTTCTGCTCTGCATCGGCATTTTCTCCATCTCCAAGGCAGGTTACCTGGGTGTACTGCAGGCGGGGCCCATAAGTACCAGGGAACAGGCACCCCTAGGGACAAACCTGAGACAATGGGGATGAAAGTCAAAGATAAGTCTCACTGTTCTCTGGTGGAATGACTCTGAGATGTAGTCTACAGTGTCCCAGAAGTCCCCATCAGCAGTGAGCCCCAGTCACCCACAGCAGGAACCTGCTCATTATTATACCTTACTGTCTCCTTTCTCCGTCTCACTTCCCACTCCCTCACTTGTGTTCTCTAGGATCAGCACCCAAATAGACCACCTGAAACCAAGGTCTTGTTTCATTGTCTGGATTTGAGGAGACCCAAATCAAGACAAAGGGGTTCATTAGTAAACTTTTATATCGTGGAAAGAAAGGCAGGGGTGCAGGCGGCCTCAGAAATAACTAGAACAGAGAACTCAGACCTCACTAGAAAGTGCCAAATTGAGTTCCCCAACTCCAGGTTGAAAAATCCCAGGGTTCTGACTGCCCCAGCCTGATTTAGTCACCCAACTCCTGGCCTGGGGCAAGGTCACAGCACAGAGGAAGCCACTAGGCTGCACATCTGTGGATGAGGTCCTTCCCAAAGGCAGGAATAGTTGTGAGCTGAGGAGCCTTCCCGACTGGTCTCCCAGAAGCACCAACAAGCCAAATGCTTTTCTTTGACCCCTGACCAGAGCCCCTTGAAATTTCTGTTACTATTGTTACTTTGTCAGTTTAAGGCTCCCACATAACAGAGGAAGCCCCAGGCACAAATCAACATATAACCGGATTGGTGAATGAAGAGAAAGCACAAGAAGATGGGTACAACTTGAGTCCATTTCTTATTGGGGGGATCAAAATGGGAGGAGAAGGAAAAAGAAACACAAACTCTTTTGGGATGGAAAGTGGAGAGCTAGATGATACTGGTCATTGAGGGTGCTGGGCTTGAGACCTTCGGCAATATGTCAGTGGAGATCACAAAAGAGGGACAGGGTAGGGGGTTGCTGACAAAAACAAAATTCACTTAAGCCATTCCTACCTGCATGACTTCATCCCTCCTCCACTATAGTCAAACAGCAGGAGACTATGTAGTAACATCTTAGGTCTAGACAGAGTGAGCAAAAGTAAGTTTACAGCTGTGAGTACCTGAGACAGAGTTTATTCTTGTATTATTATTTACTAACTATTGTATTATTTTTCATATGAACAACTATAAACCTACTTTTGACACACCCTATATAGCCTTTGTTGAGTTACAAAGCATTTTTTTTCTGAAAAGGCTATTTTTAACTTTTAGAATCAACCTATTTATGCTAAGGGAAACAAGCCTGTCAGGGAAAGACAAATACCATATGATTTCACTCATATGTGGAATCTAATGAACACGCTGAACTAACAAGCAGAATAGTGACAGACTCACGGATAGAGAGCAGGCTGACAGCTGGGGGGTGGTGCTGGGTGTGGAGTGGGGGTATTGAGCAAAAAAGAAAAGAACTCGTGGACACGGACAACAGTATAGTGATAGTGGGGGTGGGGGGAGGTGGAGGAGGGTATAGGTGGGATAAGTGGTGAGGGATCAAGACTTGGAATAGTAAACACGCAGTGCAGTGTGCTGGTGGTATGTTGTGGAGTTGTGCACCTGAAACCTGTATGATTTTGTTGACCAGTGTCACCCCAATAAATTCAACAAAAAGAAAAAACTTGTTGAGTTATTGGGGTAGCATTGGTTGATGAGATTGTATGGGTTTTGGGTATATGATTCTGTCATATGTTGTCAGTGTATTACGTTATATGTTCACCACCCCTATATGGTGTCTCTTGATCCCCAGCTTTAAAATATTAGGATACTAGCATGTCTGCCATTCCCATAAGCTCATATTCTTCTACATTTTTAGCAAAGCATTTTCATTTATAGTACTTTATTTAGTTCTCCCAACAATTCTGTGGGTTGAATGGTATTATTCCCATTACATAGATCAGTAAGTCAAGGCTCAGAGTGTTAATTCAGAGCCAGTTATCACCAGCTTTTGACTCTTATATGTAGTGCTCTCTCCTGTTATACCACAATGACCTCAAGGTAACACACTCACATGCACATCCCTGTTTAAGCACTATATGTATAATATCAGTTAGGATGCATTTAGTTGCAAGTAACAATACCTAACTAGCAGTGACTCCATCAGTAAAGTCATTTAACCATCTCACAAACCCAGAAATTTGAAAGGAAGAAGTTCCAGATTAGTTCAGAAATTTTATGAAGTCAAAAAGACCCAGGCAATTTCCAGTTCTTCTACTTTGCCACTGTCAACAGTCAGCTTTTTATCCTCATGCCTCTTACCTCATCATCTCAAGATGGTTGCCACAGCTCCAAAAACAAGGATCTTCCATTAGTATTCAAATAAGAAATGGTAATGATGGTGGGAAAGAGGGCTTTCCTGTTCTTGGTCCTAGCAGATGTCCCCTTATATCTTGTTGGCTGAAATGGGGCCTCCTGGCTGCAAAGGAGGCTAAGAAAATTTTTAAAATAGCAGGGGATGAATAGAGTAGAATACCAAAGAAGACAGGGAATGACAGTTCTGTAGGCAAGGTACATACAGAGCTGTTTAGTGGAAAACGTGCTTTCACACACATAATCTCATTCTAGCCCCACCACTTTATGAAGCAGATGTTTTTATCTCCATTTTATGAATGACAGAATATCTTGGAAAAGGTCAAGTCACATGCTTAAGAAGTGTCCTAGTCAAAACCGTAATCTAGGTCTTCAGTCTCCAAACTGCATGAGTTTCCCCTTGTTCAACAATGCTCAAGCCAACAGAGAACCAGGCTGCCCATCCCACTGTCCCTTCCCCGAATGCCCTCATGGACAGGACTGTTATCCTGAGCTCCAAATTACAGGCTCCTTTTGGCCTCCTCTTTGCTTGGGTCTACTCCCCTATATCCACCTACAGTTGAGGTAGAGAGTAAAATCAATCATATTATTAAAATTTTTAAATAAATGAGTAGATAATTATTTGTAACATTATCTGTAAACATGTAATCCCCCCAAAAAAGTGTATGGTGACAGACAGAAGAAAAATTAACAAATGAAGAATGATTAGCTAGAAAGAAAGTGTTGTGAAAAAAAAAACAACTAAGCTACAACCAGTGAAAACACTTTATTTTCCCACAACATTTACCTCTATGTTAAATTTAAATTTTGACACCGTAACTGGGAACAAATCCATGCTTGCTTTTAATGCAGGGGAGGAGGTGACCAGTTGTGTTTGTCCCATGGGGTACGTGATTGTGATGACTGACTTCCTTCTGTGATTGCATGAGCCAAGCCACTTCTCTCCTTAGCCCCTGGTCCTAGGGCATGATGT